GACTTCATCCACTAGGCGTTTGACTTCATCCACTCACTTTCTTGTGCAGGATGAACATTAAAGAGCCCTCTCAGGCCACTTCCTTTTTTTCTTCACTCTTTCGACTTCTGCACTGAATCTTTCTTTCATATTGTGTTTCGTAAACACCATTCTACACTACTGGTAGAGCACAGGACTGATTTGAGCGGCGCACTTTTCTTCTGAGGTGACCGATTCGATGACCCGCGCTGATTTTGAACACTCTGTTAAGATTTCGTTTGAGTTCCTCAAGTTTTTCTTCTATTTCTATGTTGGTCAAACTTCACAAATATGTGGATAAATGTACCAGCTTTCAAACGATGCCAAAATCCTACAGCTCTGGCTCCTTTACTCTCCTGACATTCCTATGTATGTCTTTGCGTGTTTGTGTGAAAAGACCTATACGAAATGCCCTTTGAAATTTCAAAAACTTTAGGACAGTTCCATTTTCTTGTTACAAATATGCGCTTTTGACGTTGCACAGTTTGGTCTCGGACAAAGTGCACGGTCCTCAGTGTGCGCAACAGGCACGACAGATGGACACTATGCAAGTGAGGAACAACTACACTTCTCTTTCTTCCAGGGGAAGAGCGAATTTAAATTAGGATAATTTAGGTTTTATCAGAGTGGCTACAGCATGAAAAAAGCGAGAAACTACTCCCAGTGATTGTAGATCTCGTACGTATTCTCTGCGATAAAAACCACGAACAAAAGGTTGGTTGGTTTTTCTTATGCTGGCTGCAACTAGTAGCTGGGCCTTTCTGCTGGTTTAGTGCTTTAGATTTTGGAGGGAGGAGGGGATGGTAAGGTTACGGGTATGATGCTTATTATATGAAGTGTTAGATGCTAACCGGCACACCTGTGAAGAAAACAGCGGAAAAAACCGTCATACCGCCTCGAATGTATCCATTTCTTCACATCTCTGACGTCGTTCGACGTGTCGTACCAGGAATGGGGAGAGCTCTAGTTAAAGTTTCTCGAAGAACATACAACTTGAAAATGTATTCTCGAGTACTGTAGATTGGAAACTTATG